TAATAAAAAAAAAAAAATTAAAAAAAAGTATCAAATTTTCATTTGTTTGTATCTTTAACTGAACCATTATGAGCCATCCAACCATTGGCAGAACATATTAGTCGTCAGCCTAACTCTTAATACAGAATATAACAACAATATTTTGGTTTTTCTAGTTCAGTATTTTTTTAAATTTCTTTTTCATCCATTTCCTTTTCAAAAATACTAGGTATCATGAAAGAAGTATCATGAAAAGTCTTCATGAAGAATCTCCACCATTGGATTAGTTTATAGTGTTTGTAATGTTTTATTGTATGTTATACAATCACCCTTGAATTTGTTTCATGAAACTTTTTATGATATTCTTTTCATGATGTGTAGCATTACTCTTTTTTTAATTTATCCCAAATAATATGTGTTTTTGTCACCTAAAGTTTGAATCTTGAATCCGTTCTTCAATGGGTATCTTTATAACTTCCAATAACCAAAACTAGGACCTAATGTCTACCGCACCCATCAACTTGAATTACCAGCAATTTTTCTCTAAATAAGCAGACTACAATTATCAAATATACTTGATTTGGATTTCACATGAGTTGGCAAAGCTTAATTAGACATAGGAATGCAAATCATGTTTTCTAGTGTGTGCACACACGAAACTGCAAGCCCACATTCAAAAAGCAACAATAAAGGGGATGAACATTGAGCAAGATGACAGTTAAAGTATAGATTTCACATGCAATTCATTGGACCAAAGCGTAACGCACTATGGCCACCAATATATAGAGAAGCTTGCAGCTACCAAGCAAGCACACAACTTGAGAGAGAGAGAGAGAGAGATGGGGATGAACATGCATTTAGTGGTGGGTATGATGGTGTTGGTAGTTGCGACGAGAATGTGGAACAAGGGGGGAGTAGTGGTGGTGTCGGGGCAGTGCCAAGGAGACCTGCCTGGACTGATGGCACAATGCCCCAAGTACGTAGGCAGGACAGGGCCTCAGGTTGAGCCATCTAAGGAGTGCTGTGATGTAGTGAAGACAGCGGATGTAGCATGCGTGTGCAAGTACATTACTAAGGAAATTGAACAGATCATTAGCATGGAGAAAGTTGTCTTTGTTGCTCAGTCCTGCGGCAAACCACTTGCCCACGGCTCCAAATGTGGAAGTAAACACTATATCCTCTCTTCCCCTCTCATCTATCCTTTACTTCATTTACTTCTTCTCATTCATTTTTCTTTTTTTTTCTTTTTTTCTTCTATGTTTCTTATTTATTTATTTTTGGACAAATTTTTTTTTTTAATAATTCGATTAATATAAAGCGGAGGATGAGGAGATAAGGAGTACAACTAGATTACATTAATAAACACAAAGGTCTAGATAAAGAGCATCATTATTCACAAAACATCTCGCAATTAAGTTGGTACATGTTTCTTAATTAGTTCTCTAGTTTAGTGATGGATCTCATGGTGGCAGTCGCATCTCCAAAATTTTGAATGTGGCATGTCGTCTCGTGCCAACTTAGTTGGAATGGGTTGGTTTCGCTCTGATGCTTCTTGTGTTTTTCTCCTTTATTGATATATCTTGCTCTATTTTTCTTTTATATTCATTAATAAATTGGTTTTTCTCACTCTGATAATGAACACAAGTAGTCAAACAGCTAAGAGAGAGACACAGCTAAGTTTCTAACCCCCTTTCCTTGTACTTTGTTTTCTATGTTGCAGGTTACACAGTTCCATGAAGTTAATAGAAGAGACCTTATTATTATATGTAATGCAAAGTCCTTGTATTTCATGAGCTCTTCTGTACTTATAACCGCTTAAAAGTGTGACTTCGTTCACATGTATTGGAATAAACTTCTCTTTTTTCAGAATGGGAAATGAATTTCTAGAGAGAGAGCAAGATCTTTGAGCAAAATATAGGGTAGCACATAAAAACTGTTAATTTTCTCAATTATAATAAATTATAGAATTTCTCAATTCCACACAAAAATTGTGAAATTTCTAATTTTTTTAACATAATTTCATAGCCAATATTGATAATGTTTGATAAATCTCAACAAGGAGATTCCAAAAATGTAACTTTTGTGCAAAGAAAAGATCTACAATTAAAATTATGACATTTTATAGTTTGAAATAAAATAAATAAATTGCAAAAAAAAAAAAAAAAAAAAATCAGTTACAGTAAGGCTCCATTTGTTTTAACTTTAACTCATTTTTCGTTATTTGGTTGAATAAAAATCAAATAAAACATTTTTCAAGAAAAATATTTTTGCCTCATTTTTCCAAAAATGATTTTAAAAATTTCGTAAGTCAATTTTTATAAAGTTGACTCTCACTCACTACCTTTTGAACATATTTAGTCTTTTTAAATAAAATATATTAGCTCCACTGAAAAGTCATAAATAACACTTTATTGAATCAAAAATTTTCTTTTAGTCAATAAAATAGTGTCAACCAAATGCTGAAAAATAAAAAATAAAAATAAAAAAAATTCTATGTACAATTTAATTTACAAGAAATATATTTTTTTTGATAAATATTTTATGTCGAAATAAACGGAACCTAATTGTAAAATTTCTTAGTACACACAAAAATTGCAAAATTTCTCAATTTTTTAAAACATGATTTCATAATCAATAATGATCATGTTTGATAAAACTCAACAAGTAGATTCCCCAAACTACAATTTTTATTGAAAAATAAATTTGTACAATAAAAATTATGATAATTTGAATTTTAAAATTTAAAAAAAAAACATTTACATACAAGTCCTAATTTATGAACTTATACTCCGAAGTCATAATTAAGATTTTTTGGACTTTCAAGCACCATTAAATTTTTAATAATCAAAATTGCCCTTCAAACAATGATTATTCATCATTTATGATTATATATAAAAGAACATAATAATTTAAAATTTATTTTGATTTTTAAAACTTTAAAACATCACCTTTCAAATTGAAAAAAAAAATAAAAAAATTATGTGCAAAAAAAAATTTTTGAAAAAATTGAATTTTTTTTTTTTTTTAGTGCAAAATTGAAAATTTTGTGTCTATAAAGAGGTATGATGATGGAACATTGATATGCAAAATTTTAAAAAAAAATTAAAAATGAAAAATTGATAATCTTATCGGTTTTATTGAATGGTTGAATCAAACCAATAAATAGAAAGGCAAAAACGTTTAATCTTATGCTCTATTTTTTTTTTAATCAATTAGTGAAACAATTATCCAGAACATTACTATGCAAAATTTATAATGATTCTAATTTTAAAAATTGAGAAAAATTGATAATATTCTTAATTTTATTAAATACTATACATTTATAAATACGATTTTAAGTAATTAACTCGAAAAGAAAAAAGAAAAAAGAAAAAAGAAAAATTAACTTGATAACTCAACAATGCAAGTTGTGTTACTACGCACATAAGATGCGCCCCACTAATCAAAACCGTCCAAATCTTCACTTGAAATTTTAAAATGGGACTTAATGGGTTGAATACTGAAAATTTTAGTAAAATATTTGAAATTTTTAACATTATTCCTAAACTCAATGGAATCTTTTGAATTAACTAAAAGCTTAAGTTTCGTTTGGGAAGTGGATTGACTTTTTGACTTTTTGAACTATTTTAACTTGGGGCTAAAAAGCCTGGTTTGGGAAGATTTTTTTGATTTTTTTGACTTTTTTGATTTTTTTATGAGAGAAAGAATGTAATGATTATGGGTTGAATGTGATGTTTTGTCTTATTAGGCTAAAGAGCCTATTTTATTTTTTATAACTAAAATAGTCAAAAAAAAACCTCAAATCTTGCGTCCCAAATGAAGCTCTAATCTATTACAAATGATATGGATGGGAATTTCCACCAGAAAACCCATGAATAATATACCACTACATTGTTCTTTTAATTTAGGCAACAAAAATACTAGGTCCACAAAATTAGATGTGGGTTTAAGATTTACTAAGTGTGAGATGATTATTGATGTCACTTTTGGAACAATAAAACACATCATATGAGAACTTGTGCAAAGGGAATATTACCTCAGTACACTTAACTTAAATTTTAAAATTTTAATTCATATTATATCTTAATGTAAATTTATTAATAGAGATAACACATATTAAATCTTAAAATAAAATATTAATTTTTTCTCATAGTATATTCTAATCAATTATACGTATTGTTCCAATTCAAATCTATTCATTTTCTTTCCAAAATTTTAATTATTTTATCTTCTTTTTTTTTTTTTCTTCACTTCAAAACTCCAATCCACCCCACTAAAAGTCACAATTATCATCAATATCATTATTTTTTATTATATTATTACTTGTAAATAGAAAAATATTTAAACAAAATCAAATATTGTTACATATTTAAACAAAAATTTACATATATTGTTGCTCTGACCTTCTCATCTCCAAATCCTCAATCTTAGATTACTTTATCAGTCAACGATCTCTCTCTCTCTCTCTCTCTCTCTCTCTCTCTCTCTCTCTCACACACACACATACTCTCCGATAGATGATGGCAGCAATAACAGTGACGCTGGAGGTGGAGTGGTAACCAAAACTCAATATGAAGCTTACAGGCGTCGACAATGATGGTCTTTTCAAAAGGATAATTTAGAAAAAAAAAAATAAATATATTAAGAATAAATTATAATCCTAAATAATTTAATATGATATATTTAAAACTTAAATATTTTTTGAATGCAAATAAAATTCCCCGTATTATAAGGCCACGGGGCATTCACAAATAATTCGGCATTCAACAAATTATTACCTACATAGTAATTGGGTCTTAATGGCATAGTGGGATATTAAAGAGTCCATGGTCTAAAAGGGGTATTGTATTCCTTCAAAGTATTGGTGTTCTTGGAGGAAAAGCTGTCACTTAGTGTATCTTTTGCAAAGAAGAACCTCAGATCCTAAATCATGTATTGCTTCTTTGTCCCTATATCTAGAAAATTTGGTCTGACATCATAGATTGGTGGGGTTTATGCTGGGTATGCCCAGGCTCTATGGTGGGCTTATTTGATTGGTGGATTGGCACTAAAATCAGGAAGGAACTCCAAATATGGAATTCCTTACCACTTGTTGTTTTGTGGTCAATTTGGAAGCTCTGAAACGATTGTGTGTTCAATATTGCTCAACCTAACTTCATGGAGCTCTGTGAGCTTATCAAGATCAGAGTTGCAATTTGGTTAAAGAGCCACTCTTTTGGGAACTCATACTCAAATTCTACCCATGATTTTGTATTCAATTTTAATTAGATCAGGAGATGCATTTGATGGATTCAATCTTGTTCTGCTGCTGATTAAACTCTTATTCCATGTCATTGAATTGATACCACATGCTATAGATTCAGAGCAGAGTTTATGAATGTATAATCTCATGTGTTAAACTCTTTTGTACCATTAACTCTTACGAAATGAATGACCATTATATTCTGATTCATATTGTTATTTACATATGGTCTTGGATGGATTTATGGCATTTATTTCGGGGCGTTACACATTAGGCTTTAACTCACCCCTTCCCTTATATATGTGTAGATGAGCACATAGATCATCAAGCTTAGAGTTGCTTTCGGGAGATCACCCTTTCTGAGAAGCCGATAGTGAAGTGCCTCCGTGATGAGGCACTGTTTGGTCTCTAGTGAAGTCAAGCTTTTGTCAAACCCTTTGTGTAGTCTTTTTGTTTTTGATTATTTGTAGAACATGTTTGTACATATTAAAGTTGAAGTTGAAGTTTAATGTAAATATGACTATGGATGAGTTTTCAATTTCTTGGTTGCGCTAAGCCCCGTAATTTATTTAATGATTTGTATTTGGCTTTGAGGCCATAGGTAATCTATGATTACTAGCCGATCATAACCTTGACCTCTAGGGACAGGTTCGGGGTCGTAACAATTATGCACCTAGTGTGATGTCGCGGGTTGTCGATCTAACTTAAGAGTGCCTTTTTAGACCTATTGTTGTACTTTCAAAACCTTAAATGCCGTGTGTTGTGCCGACTAAGAACTGAACTTGGTGTGACCTCCTTAATAAGTAAGAGAGCTATAATTTTTGAGTTTCAGGCGTAAGGACTAAATCGGAGATGTGGAATCACCTTAAGAAGGATTGGGTTGTATTAGGTAGGCCCACACGTGGGGTTGTTGAGACCATGTGTGTAGGGGCTGAGGCCGCACGTACGAGGAGCTAGGTTGCACTTGTGGGGAGGGAACTGAAGAAGATTTAGGGCCTGCTTGAAATCGCCCGTGCAATGGGGATTTCCGCACGTGCAAAAGGTGATTCCACACGTGCAGTTAGGGGGCTCCATATGTACCTACTCGTTTGAAATTGCCTCGATTTCTAGGTTTTTAAGCCATTAGTTGACCCTCTCACCCTTTTTTCCTCATTTGAACTCATCTCTCTCTTTCTCTAAACTTTCCTTTGCTCTTTTCTCTCATCTTTCTCAACAACACCACCACCAAAACTCTATATCTTTCTTGATCCAAGTAAATCCATTATGATTTTGACACTAGTTCCTTACACCAAAACGACAGCATTCTAAGAGCTACATTTTGACAGGTGGAGATTGATTTCTGGCGAAGTTGGTTTTTGAGCTTTTTCTCTTATCTCTTTAAGGTGGAGATTTCTCTATTTTTTCTTGATGTAGTTGTTGAACATGGATATGTGGTAATTTTATTGCATGAAAAACTTGAGTTTTGATTATGAGATTTTGAAAAGGATGTAAGTGGATTAGGGTTTTGAAATTTTCAAAGTTAAATCCTTGTTTTATTGTTGATTATATTAATTTCTAGGTAGTGGAGCATGTGTATGGAGCATGTGTATGATCTTCCAAATAAAAAGCCATAATTTATTTATTTGAA